GGTGCCCAGCAACAGGACCAGAGGCAATGGGCAGAAACTGAACCACAGGAAGTTCCATCTGAACCTGAGGAAAAACTTCTTCACTGTGAGGGTGACAGAGCATTGGAACAGGTTGCCCAGAGAGGTGGTGGAGTCTCCTTCCCTGGAGATATTCAAAAACCGTCTGGATGTGATCCTGGGCAATATGCTCTAGGTGACCCTGCTTGAGCAGGGAGGGTGGACTAGATGATCTCCAGAGGTCCCTTCCAACCTAAACGATTCTGTGATTCTGTGATTCTGTGTAATGAAGCAGGTGATTAGTGCACTCTATCTTTCCCATATGACTTTGAGAAAAACATGTAATCCTTCACAGCTTCATTCCTTGTCTAGAAAAAAGGAAGAATGATACTTCTTCCAGCTCCTTCTCTACCCTTCCCATCCATGTCTGCCGTATCTGCTCAGTCTGCCAGCTTTCTGAGCCAAATACAATCTTTAACTGTATGGGTGTGTGTGTTCAGCACTTCGTATGATAAGCTTTCACCCGGAGCCTTCTGATACCACCGCTGTAATAATAAGAGAAAAAATCTACCATTCTGAGTCCAGGTCAGGTCTTTTAGATGCTTCCATGGCTACCTCCTAGGCTATAATAAAAAGGCTTATATTTCTTGTACCATCTTCAGGGGTAGTCATAGTAGAAGTTACCAAGAAGATAATCTGGTCAATAACTTTCATCCAATGTTAAATGTTAAAAATGCACCACTGATGTATTTGAATTTTGACTGCACTCTTGAACAGCAGATAGGTAGACAGAAGAGAAGGAAAACTGGGCAGGGAGGAGGGAGATGCATAAAAGGAGGCAGGGCAGGTCATGTGGGCAAGGAAAGGGGAATTTTATCCAGCCAGAAGCACTGAGATTTTCAAAAACTCTGTGTGGGACCTGCTCCACTCGAAGAGCTGTCAAAGCAACTTTACAGCCAGGTGCAATCAATCCAGAGCAAGAGATGAGTATTATTCCAGTCTCCAGTCTCCACTATCCATCAGGCCTATGCTCTGAAGGTGCCGGGCCTGGAGCTTTGCCATCTAAGCTTTTTTATATTAGTCCTGTGTCCCCTGCACCTTGCAGTTACCAGTTTATCTGATGTTTTCAAAGCCTCTTTACATCCCTAATGAGGGCTCTCTTCATATGCACAAACAGTGAAGGCCCAGACAAACATTTACTCCTGAGACTGCTGAAATGGAAAACTCTATTAAAAAAAAAAAAGATTCCATCCTCAAGTAGACTTTGCACAGCTCTTTGGGAGTATCATAGGGTATGCACAGAGCAAACCAATGCAACCTACCTATCAGTGGGACCGAGTCAGAAGTTGCAGGCATGATCTCAGCCACTAGCAGCATAAATACAGTCAGGGAAAGCAGGACAGTGATACCTGCAGGGAATGAGCATAGAAGGAAAGGATGAGGAACATGATCTCTGCTGATCCTCCTGTTGATGTCTGTGCTGATAAATATAGCCTTGTACTGATCTACAGCTAAGACAAATGCGTGATTTTGTGCTTGTCAACACAGATGAGAGCTTCTACCAAGCGAAAATATCTTTGGATGCATCTTAATCCACTCTTTCTGTCTGAGTTACTCCCAAAACCTTGTTCCTCTTAAAGTAGTGGAGAAGTCTTTGCTGCTGAATGAAATGAAGCCTGCAAAACTTGTGAACTATGCTGTCCTTGCAAAACTGGGCTCAAAGAAAGCCCAGACAGTTTTTAAGAGCTTGTAGAGACTTCACAGTCATAAGTAGTTTTTGTCTATTGCACATTGTATAATGTCGTCCGTATAGCTGTGAATTGATTTAAATGTAGCGCTCTGTTTATTTGCTCCCTCTGGAAAGACTGTTGCAAAACCTCGCTGTCCTGGTGCTGAGAAATCATCTTCCATTTCACAGCCTGCATGAACATTATCCCCTATTTTTTATGTCAGTATTGCCTTTTAGCTCAAATAATTCTTTTCTTTGCCTTCCCCTTATTTCTTACAGACAACAATCCTATTCCCCTTGGCTCTTGTTTTGCTTTGTGTAAGCCTGGCCACTCAATTCCTCCATTGTTCTACGGCTCCTCAGTGCACTTGTTCCCTTCTAAATGTCTTTGTCCTGATCAGTTTTGTGCACCATATGAAAATTAAGGTCTCACCTGGGCTGGTTTTGTGTGTTTCCAGCTTTCCCTTGTCTTCTGCTCTTGGAAGCACATATGATAGTAAATCACATCTAGTTCTTTGGCCGCCACTTTTTTGTTTTTATGGGGAACTCATGGCTTGCTGATGTGGGGGCTTGGGGGCATGGAAGATGAAAATCCAATGCCCGGTCACTGCTGCTCCTGACCCTTCAGAGAGCCACTCCACCTCTCTGTATCTTAGTATATCCTAGCTGAAAAATGGAGCTAATCAGCTGTGCAATGCGTTGAGATGCACTAAGCAAAAGAGCTGCAGGGGAGACACTGTTATCATTGCTGCCTGTGCCAGTGAAAAGTTTTGCCTCATCCCAGGATAAAATCAAAAGGATGATACCAGTAGAAGTACTTAGCATAGTATGTGTGAATGCCTTGCAGAAAGTTGTTGTTACCCTGCTTTCTGCAACTAAACAAGTGCTTCAGCTGTTCTTCCAGGAAAATCTTTTTTATCAAGCACCATGATGTATGTATTTGCATGTTAAGGGAAAGACTTAGGAAGGAAATGAACTTTTTAGCACTTACCTAAAGAAATCTTCTCTCCTGAATCAGCTGGCAAGAGGAAAACAAGCAATGCCAAGGCAGATATAAGAACGCAGGGAATCAGCAGGTTCAAGCCGTAGTAAAGCGTGCGTCGGCGCATGGTGACGGTGTATGTCACATCTGGATATGGTTCTTTACAGCATTCATAATACAGCTCGTTTCTCTTTCCCGGGACACCTGTAGAGAAGAGAGATCAGAGCAGAGGGGAGAGCTGCAGGACTCCCAGGTATCTCCTGGGAGGTAGGAAGGTTTATTGCACCTCTGACCATATTGGTCTCTCCCCAAAGCTGAAAGGACCTCCAGGGATCACATGGTCTATCCCTGGCCACAAACAGACCCAATCCTACAGAGGATGTTCCTGGCACAGGCAGCAGCAGCCGTCTTGGTGCTTTAGCGTCTTTCCCTTTAAGCCTCAGGCCAGCAATGGAGAGGCTGTGGAGGAAAATCAATGGAGGGAAAGGAGACAAGCTGAGCCCTGTCTTGGCCACTGAACCATTTGTTTCCTCACAGGGGAGCTAGTGTAGGGGTCTGACCATGCTACAACTACCTCCAGACAGTCTAGGTTCAAACCTTAGCAGGTAGCTTATGCAAGTGCTGAGGTTCAGGCTGAGGGAAGGGGAAGGGATTTCTCCACACCCCAACTTCTGTGGGATCTCTTACTGCTCTGTGGGATCTCTTCCAAACATCAAAGTAGGAGTGCATTGCAGTGTCTTGTGGCAACTGATAGGGGAGAAGAGAAACCCCTAAGGCAAAAGTAATTTTCTGACACCATGGCCAAGGATGAAAATGTGGTGGACAGGTTAAGGGGTAGAAGGGACAAAGTGGGTCTTTTTCCTCAACTTGATGTTGTTTGAAAGCTGAAATGCATCACTACTGGATTAAACCAGCTGTTGTAGCTCTTAGTCTGTCAATGTCTTCAGCAACTTCTGAGGCAGCTGTGCAAGATTCCTTCTGTTCCTAATCCCACTTCTGTGTTTTCTGAGGCTTATTTTCATGCCTTCTGAGTAATCAGAACCGGGCTTAGCCACAGAGGCTCATCTGGGCCAGAAGAACACCGTTCTGACCACCCCAATCCCAACAAGGAAAGATTTGTGAACAGTGGCCAAAGGATAATGCAGCAAAACATACCTTCTGCCTCCCTGCACTGAAGGAAGGGTGACAAAGGGCTGATGTCATATTCACGAGCCCATGCAGCAGATTTTCTGCAGGACAGGTGCCACTAATTGCTATTTTTCTGTCATTCTCTTATACAGTACTTGCAGAAAAAAGAAATACGATATGATGTCCATTTTCAAAAGGGGTGTCGAGTTAAGCTTAGGGTCTGTTACCTCTGAGGGTTAAGAGACATAGCTGTCCAACGCAGCTGTACTGTGGGGTTAGCCAAAATGACCAGGCTGCAGAAAATCCTGTTTGGCAAGGACATCTAAGACCATGCTAGGCAAGGATGGTGGCAGCACAGTAAATGTCAGGGGAAGACGGAAGAGCTCAGCATCTTGTACCTTTCCTGCCACCACTGCTTACCTCCTTTTTGTTTCTGTCCATATGACAGAAGATGCTATGGCGTGTATATTCTGGCAGGAACGTTAACAAATTCTCCATAAAAGACATGGCTGTGGCTGGCTTGCGGTGTTAACTATCACTATAGTTGCATGGACTAGCAAAGGCTCAGCTCTGTCCACGCCTTATCTCAGATGAAGGCATATAAATCAAAGGCCAGTCTCTTCATCAGGTACACAAAGCTATTGGACAGAAATAGTTACTAGAAAGGAGTACATGAGAGCCAGTCCTGCTCTGAAATGGACTGACTTTTGAATGTCTTCCTGTGAAGTCCTTCAACATCTCAGGAAACTGAATACCAATTACACTTGTAATTTTATTATTTCTCAGATTCCCTGAATGATAAAGCCAATGTATTCAATTAGTCAGAGACTGTGTCTCCTTGACTACACATCTGGACTAGCAGATGAAAGGTCCTGCTTTCATGTTCTCTCTAGGGTGGTCTAAGTTCTGTCGTTTTCCATAGCACTGCTTCTGATGTACACTTACGTTAATGAGTTCGTAATAAGGCACTAGGATTTAGCTCTAAATGACTAATTCTGGGCATAGGATCCTCTTTTAAGAACATAGGTCTCTTCTGAAGTGCGGAAGAGAACGGCGATATCCTGAGCTGCAGTTATTTGAACTGATAGGCACTTTGATCTTTTTGTGGGCAAGAGGCATTCACTTCTCTAAAAGTCCATTCCAGTTTTGCTGAAATAGTGTTTTTTAAGCCAATCAATATTTGGCTGATGTGGTACAGTAGATGTGACATTATGTTCAGTGAGCTTGTATCAGACACAGATCCAAATTTAGTACTGACAAACTGCTCAAACACATCAGGACCAACAGATTCCTTTTACGTACAGGTTCCCTTTAGTTTCACGGTGCTGCAGAACACAGTGTTTTCAGACACATTTCAAGAATGTGTTTGAAAAATTGTCTCTGATCGGTGATTGGTTTTTTTTTGTTGACTGATACGTAAGAGCTTTTAACACCTATATTTCAAACTTCCCAATAGGATTGCTCGTCTCCGTATACTTGGGGTTTGCCTTTGAAAATTAGGCTACTGAAGTTTTTAGTCTGTCAATTTACCCACTAAATCCCATTCTCCATTTGAGATGTAGTTGGAAATATCAGCCTCAAGCATCTGCAGGTCAAGTAACCAACCGCTGTGGGTCCAGGAGCCAAACTTCAAATCACACTTCTGCACGTCAAAAGGGAACCAGCGGACGTCAATATAACACGTGCTCTTCAAAATGCCTGTGGATAGAAATAGATAGAATCAAATGTGTGCAGGGTGCAGTCCATCAAGGAGTCCATCAAACGAGGAGGACAGGGCAGGGGTACATAGTGCATGGGTGTCTCAGTGCTGTTGCTGGGAATACCTTGACGGGCTCTTTTAAAGGAGTTCTTCATTAAGCTTACCCAGTTTCTGGCGTGTACAAAAGCCCTGAGTTAGACCTATAAGCCCTTTGAACCATGTTTTTATGCTAAACCTTGCTCACTGGTGGCCTTTATCTTCTGTATGCTAATCTGGGCCTTTGTTTTTACTCTGACTGTGTCTGGTTCTCTCCCAGGCCTGCTGCTCCACAGCCTTCACCTCACCTCGCGTGCTCACCATGCCTTTCCAAGCTCAGAGGAGAGGCAGCTTCTGCTTCATCAGAACATCATCTCAGATGCCGAGCTGACCCTAGCTATTTGGAATAATTGTTTCTGCCTGCTCCCTAAAACACCTACTAATGTGAATCCCACTTTTGAGTCATCTAACTGAAGAGAGTTCCATGCTTTTCAGACAGTGCTCAGGCTGTGCCTTTTGAAAATGAAATCCCCAAAGCAGAGGTCTGTCTGCTGTTGCAAAGGCTGAGGATGTTGTGGCATAACTGTGTGTGCATGATCATTTCTCTGCACACAGTGCTGCTCTGGGGTGCTCTTTATCCTGTTACACTCGGGTAGGTCTTCCTTCTGCTGTCATGGCCCTTTTTGGACTGGCTACGGGGAGTCTTTTCTCCTATCTTCTCCCACATCTTGGCTCTGTTCCCTTCCTTAACAACAGACTGCTGTCCCATTCTTGTGCTTCATCTCCACTCCTCCGCCTAGCCATGTGTACAGGAGCTCGTTTCTCTAATGGACAGCAACAGTAAGTATAGCCTGCTCTTGGAGTCAAGGGAAATAAAACTTTCATGAAGCTTTGGGAACACTCTCTTTCCCCCTCTATAGTATTTTGCAGCTTCTCAGTTAATCTAGCTGCTTCTGAGAGCGTTTGGTGCTCTTAAGTGGGCTGATTATGAACATTTTCCTTCAAAAGTGGATTGGAGAAAATATTTTAGCAGCAGTTAAATCCCAGTAAGCAAAGATTTCCTGTGCTTTGCACAACAGATTTCCTTTACTCCTTATTCCTTAGCTTCTTCTCCCTTGGGATCTTAAGTAAGCAGTTCTCCACCACAGAGCTTGCAGCTCACTCTAAATGCAGTCTGCACACATAGTACTACTTCTCCTACTCTATCGGCAGAAAGACTAGCCAGGCACCAGATCTGCCTGCTATAGGCACTGTCTGAACGATCTACCTAAAGAGACCCTGGAGGGATGGCGAAAGCTCTGCCATGGTGAATGCCAACCTTTTCATGTTGCTATTGCTCCCTGGAGAATAGCCTTACCCACAGATCCGTCCCAGAGAAACCATACGGGTCCTTTAAGTGATCTCAGGAATAGGGATTACTAACAAACCTGTGGACATGCTTGGGGTTTGTCTGCCAACCTCTGCCTCATCTGCTTCATGCCGTGTTTCTTGTCCACTGAAGCAAGTGGCTGTGGGAATAGCCTGGATGTTTGCTAGTAGGTCCCAGCTGCTGGAACCCTACAAGAACTGGAGTCAGCCATATACCTGAAAAGCAGGCCAGACCCCCAGCATCTGGCCAACTCTGGAATGGCCTCAGTGCCTCTTTGCAAGAGTTACAGGCTCAGCCTAAGACTGCCATACACAGAGGGCTTTGCTGGGGAAGCAGTGCTGCTCCTGGGACACATCTTATAGTTACACCTCTCTTCACTCGCAGGAGAGAGCTAACTGGGTTGCACGTAAAGCCTCCCTCTGTTATAATGAGCCAGGAGAGTGCACACCGCCTTGCTTTAGATGGTACTTTCTCTAGGCTCTGAATGTTGGAAGCAAACTGCTCAGGAAAGATATTTATTCATTTATGAAGTGGAAATCTGCCACTAATAACAGACCTAAATTACTTCAGCAGATTTGTCCCATAATAGACGGCTGCAAAATTTCTGCATACAGACTGCTTCCAAATGCTTGGATTTCATTCATAAAGGAAAATTGTTTGTAATTATATAAAAATACACATTGCTTTAAAGCAAACAAATATGCTTTGCATACCTGGAGGAATATATTGGCAGGATCCAGAGTAATTCACCAGTACATTTGTGTGAAATGTACCATCAAATCTTTCATCCGCGCTACAAGACAATGAGAACAAAACAAAACAAAGAAAGAGCCAACAGACAGATGAGTTCAGGTATAGTAACTGTCAACAGAACAATAATCTTCTGTTAGAATTTAATGTACAGGACGTCTGAATTAAGGGCTGTCGTACACCTAGCTAAATGGCCAACCCCCATCAGTAGCTCACTTTCTCATAGACGCTGTTGACATGTGCCTGGGTACGCTGGATGCTTGCCCTAACATCCTCAAAGAAAGGAAATGCAGAGCTGGTGATGTCTCAGGGGAAGGGCAGAAGGGAAAGGAGCAGGGGTAGTGTCCCGGCAGGAGTCTCTAAAAACCAGGCAGCTGGGAGGATGCAGCTTTTCTGGGACTGCTGTCAGAATCAGGCAGTTCCCAGGGTAAATTAAGCTATTTGTTACCCAGGTCTGAGGGAACAGTCCTGCAGTCTTTCAGGAGGCACAGGGCCAGAGCTTTGCTTCAAGCAGTTGAATAAGGCACTGGCAAGAAGCTGTTTTGGATCTGGGGCTTATAGGGGAAGCCTGACTGAGACTGTAAGAGCAGAAACCAGTGAAAGGGACTGAGAAAAAAGATTTCTTTGGGATTCCAGCAATTCTGAGGAAAAGAAGCAGTCTTCAAGGGAGCAAGCCTGGGGGCTCACTCCAGAGAGTCTCTTGGGAAGAAGTTACATGCATAGGGTTCCTACAGCCTGTGCAAAGGCTTTACACAGCAGCCCCTTGCTTATCACGGCGATATGCAGGTCTGTCATGTTGGAGCATGAGTCCACTGTGTTAGTGAGCACATCCTGTCTCACAGCCAGACACGAGTCCATCACACGGTTGGGCATAGATGCAGCCCATTCCTTGGGCTCCCGGCAGATGTCACACAGCAGCATGGAAAATTTGGATCCTTCGTTCCCCCTATGACCTGCTCTTTGCTCGTGTCTGAGGAGTTCCTGCACATGACAGTTAACTGTCAGGAGATCTCTGCGGACTTGAAAAACAAAAAGAAATTACAAAAATACGGGAAAAAGAGCACATGATTCAAGATGAACATAAAAGAAACAGCACAGACAAATGGAGATAAAATAGAAAAAGCTGAGGTATTAACTAGCAATAGACATAAAGGGCAGCAGACTCAGTGGCATGAGTGCAGACCAGAATAGGTTAAAAAAGTGTGCATACAACAGACTCCCATTGGCATGACTGATGAAATTTACCGTGGAGTACTGAAGGAACTGGCCGAAATACTCTCTGAAGCATTAACAATTATCTGTGAGAGCTTGTGAAGAGTAGGAAAGAGCTCAGTGAACTAGAGACGATCAAAGAGAAATCAGATTTTCTTTTAAAGGGGGAAGTTATAGACAAACCAACCTAACTTCAAAGATAATAAGGTGATAACAGCTGGCATGGATTTGTCAGTGCATTTGGGCCAATTGCACCAAACCAATCTACTTTTCTGCTTTCTCAGGATGATTGACTTACTGATTAAGAGGAGGCAGAAGCCTCCCACATAATGTTCTTGTAAACAAACTAGAAAAGTATGGACCAGATTACATGCCTGCTGGTTAGAGGATGAACCTGGTGAGTTGTTATCATGGGCTCACAGTCAAACTGTGAGGAGTAAAGCTGGAGCAAAGAACAATCCTTATACAACTTCCAGGTGACTGCAAGTTTCCTTCAGACACCTTGGAGTGAGGGCTTGGAACAGAAAATGGACGTTGGTAATTTGGAGAGACCAACAGAATGAAATTCAGTCCAGATGACTGTGAAGTATTCCCCCTGAAATTGACAGAGATAGACAAATCTAAGAAAATCTAATAAGGCAGTAAGTCTGAAGGACAAGGTCTGGAGTTTATGATGGATCAAAAAAGAAGTCCAGAAATAAGGCATTAGTGAGAGTACAAGCAAAAAACCCTACTTCAGGAATGCATTAAAGGGAATGTGTGGGTGGATGTGGAGATTACTACTATAACACTCCATTGCACACTGCAGAAGTCTTGGTTAGAGTGCTGCCTCCACTTTTGAGAAAAACACAAATTGGAGTGTTTAGAGGAGAACAGCAGTGATGGAAAGCGATTTAGAAAATGTGAGTGATGAGGGAAGCACAAAGAAATTGGGTTTGTTTAGTCCAGGCAGGAAGACTAAGGCAGAAACATGATAATAATCTTCCAGAAGAGGCACGGTAGTTGCAGGAAGAATATGGATTACTTGTTCTCTGTATCCACCGTGCAAATGGAAGGAAGACATCCACGAAATTGTAGCAAAGGAGGTTTAGTTTGGATATTAGAAGAAACTATTATCTGGCACTTGTCTTCTCTTTTTTGAATTGTTTCAAGAGAAGGAGGCAAAATCCCCAGGCAGCAAAAGCCCCAGAGTATTAGTGGAGCGTGGCTGATTTCCAGCATCGAGCGCTCTATTTCTACATCTCTGTTGGCTGTTGCATATCTTGCTTACCTGTTATACAGAAGAATATCTGGCACCCAAATCTGATCAGCTGGGAATCGCAAGTTCTGCACCCCCGGGTATTCATACTGATCCCAAGACAGGTAAACATCAACCCAGTACTGTGGGAAAATGCATGTATCAGATCATATGAGCTGGGAAAAATCTTCTAGCCTCTTTGGAATGCTAGGGGAACAGAACGGCTGTTGCCAATAGTAGTGCAGAAATGTGACAATAGTTATTACATATCTTACAGTGATAGGCTTTAATAATTAAAGAAGGCTGGCATATATCTTAAAGAATTCAGAGTCGTGACTGGATGTTGTGTGCTATTATATTGTCATTTACTGTCTAACCCCTCCTTCCTAAGACCCGAATACAGATATTTCAAACCTTTTCTTGATGGATTGGCAGAAACTCTGGAAGTAGGCTGGTAGGCAGCCTGGTTTGCAGTAGTTTGGGTATCATTAGACATGATACGGGGTACATAGACCACTGTCTGGCAATTTCTGATGAAAATAATTTAATTTGTTGCAAAGATCTGAGGATGGAGAGGGTTAATAACCACCTCACTGGGAGAGGTAGGCAAGAGGACTTTGTATCTCAAGGGATTGCTTCTGATTCCCTTTTCCCCCCACCTCAACACACACACACTTAGTTCAAGAAAGATGCAGGTACAAGTTGTGCGCTGAACGCTGTCACTTGCAGCAAATCTCTAAGGCAGGGCTATCAGGGAAACAGACACCGGTGCTATAACCATAGCCAGCCTCTCCAAGAGACAGCACACACACAGGCTCTCTCCTGACAGTCCCATAATCCTACAGGATCGTCTGGATTCTGGATTTTTGTAGTAGAAAAGCTCATTTCTGTTGCAAATCCCAGCAGACAGCTGAGGAAGAAGCAGCCGGTTCTGCTGTGCCCATTAACATGTTGCAGCGTTTGGCTGCTAATGACAAGGCAGAATTAGCTCAGTCGTTCAAGTCTCCCACCAGATTTTTGCTCCAGAGCTGAGCAACTCGTGCTCAGGAGATCAGTTCATGCCTCTACAAGAGGAGACGATATCTGTAACCTTAAGGGGCTAGTGACAGACTTACTGTTAAGGAGGTTTTTCACTCTTTATTGACTCAGATTACTCACCATCTGCAGCCAAGCATTTGTGATCAACACCTGATTCTTCTCATCCTTTAAATAAAAAGGGGAAGGGGAGAGAAGAGAAAAAAAGATGATCCTCAAAATACAGTTCGATCACAGGTAGAAGCATTACTCTCTTGTTCCTTTCAAAACCCCGATTGTTGCAGAAAACGCATGCAAGCTTTGTGTAGTACACTGTGAGCTCAGTACAAAATCACTAAATTGCACTATATGGCCCAGACAATTATGGCTCTCTTTGACCCTTAAAACCTACAAAACTCTTGCATTTGTTGCAATTGAGCAACATCAGAAGTGAAAATAACAGATAATGGCTATTATTTTGCTGGAGACTCCTTCCCAAAGGCACAAGATTTTCCTTTTAAATAGGTGGGCAAAACAAGATGATTTCTACTACTATAAAGCATACAGTAATTGGAGAGCATTTACATTGTTTTTGCTACCACTGCAAAACAATAGCAAAAGGATACGGAAGGCCCTGTTCCTTTAGAGTCTTAGCATTACGTAACTTAGCTCATGCTGAAAAGGAAAGGCTGGCCTTGGGCAAAAGCAAATATAGGCAGCAGACCACAAACACCATCTGATGGGGGCTCATCGTTTCCTACTGATACATTGAAATAGACTACCGTCTTGGCCCCTGACACCTACTCTTTTTTAATTAGAGATAATCTTTATGTTCCATCCTTTTCTTCCTATTCTCCTCCATCCAAAGAGAAGCATCAGATACAGAGTTCACACAGAGAACAGAGGGATTGTTACATTACAAGGAGATCACTGAAGCGGAGAGTTGTATTTTAGCACCAGATAAAGCTGCTGTGAAACTCTGCAGTTAACACTGTGCGCTGCAGCAATCAAACCTCAGGCACCCACGCAAAAAAGTATCAGTGCAGGAAAGTGGAGTCATCAACGGGATGCAGTAGAGAACATTCATAACAGGAGTACAGTAAGAACCGCCAGGCAGAGAGCTTCACCGAGACATGACATGATGCACGAGCCTATTGAGTTTCTAAGCAGGATCTCTTCTGACTTCCTTGGGTCCAGACTTTCACCTGATGAAGTTGCTTTCCAGGTATATGGTGTTAACCCTGTCATGCTGGTGCCTAGCTGTAGGAACATCTGGTCCTCTGCAGTGTTTAAGGTGGGAGACACTGCGTTGTCAGCTCTGCAGAGCACCCTGGGCATGTAAGCACTGTGAAGTCATATTCAGAGGCAGCTGTCAAGTCCTGCAGGTAGTTAGGGCTATCAAAGTCTCAGCCAAGTCCCAAACTAGCTCTTGAAAAAGTAGTATCTCCAGGAAGCTCTGTTTTGCTACTACTGCTGGTTCAGGCATCCACTTGAGCTTGGACATCAGCCTGCCTGTTGTATCTGTGAGCTCCATCCCTACTGGCCCCAACTCACGGCATGCCTCCATTTTCGGTGGTGTCTTCCTAGAGCTGGCTGATATTTGCTTGGCCCAGCAGCTCACTGGATTTGAGAGTTTAGAGACAGTCAAAGAGCTCCAGAGGCTCTCTCTGACACCCTGGTGCCTGCAGAGGCTAACTGAACTTACTGCAGACATGTAGAAAATAAGTGTATATGCGGTTGCCAGAGTCCTCTATGCAAAGCTGTATGTTACACCATTATTTCTCCTGCTCCCCTGGAGTCCACGCCACCTGTACTCTTCATTGGCACGCAACATCCAGAAAGCCTGGCCTGCACAACCACAACATAAACCGCATCCCTGAAAGTAATCTGGGCTTTTGGATTGGTCTGACCCTTAACTATGTTGCTTTTTGCAATATTCTTTGGTTAACAGAAGGAGTAAAGCCAGAACTGCCTAATTCACTTTGGAAAGATTACTGATCTGGTCGCCTCAAGCTGCGTTCATGCTCTCCTCTCCCTCTCCCTCTCCAGCACTACCCCCATAGTAGAGATGCAAAGCAGTTACCCATGAATCATCAGGGAAGATGCGAGCTGCTCAAAAGCAGACCGCCTTGTATCACACTCAGCTCCATCACTGGATGAGCGTTTTCTTTTTTGAGGCCTGTGGGTTTACTTCTTGCGCGTGCCATGCAGAAACCACTGTATGACTGCAAACTCCAAGGCTAATGCATGAGGCTTGAGGTAAGCACCTAGTCCAACCACCCTGCTCAGACAGGGTCGCCTAGAGCACATTGCACAGGATTGTGTCCAGATGGCTTTTTGCATATCTGCAGGGAAGGAGACTCTACAACGTCTCTGGGCAACCTGTTCCAGTGCTCAGTCACCCTCACGGGAAAGATTTTCCTCATGTTCAGATGGGACTTCCTGTGCTTCAGTTTGTGCCCAGTGCCTCTCATCCTATCACTAGGCACTGCTGAGAAGAGTCTGGTCCCATCCTCTCAACACCCCCCCTTCAGATACTTGTACCCATTGATCACATCCCCCCTCAGTCTTCTCTTCTCCAGGCTGCAGAGTCGCAGCTCTCCCAGCCTTTCTTCCTATGAGAGGTACTCTGATCCCTTTATCGTCCTAGTAGCCCTTTGCTGGACTAGTTCCAGGAGCTCAGTGTCTCTCCTGTACTTCCTGAGAGTCACACGGAGATCCATTAGTGTGCAACATACACCTGGAAGGCTAATGGCTTTCCTGCATGTGGAGAGACTTCTGGTCAGCAGCCTTTTACTCATGGCTCTGTTTTTCACCCACATAACCACTTTATACTTGATAGACTCCATGTCTGCAAAGAAAAACACCTAAGACTGACTTCTGCAGTTCACAAAGCAGTTGGCTGCCCTAACCTGCTCACCCATTACACTTCTGGGATCTCCTTGCTCTGACTCAGAAGCTAATGGTTCTGGTAATCAGCTCTCACTGCAAACAATGCATCAGCCACTGCGGAGCATAACTTAAATGCATTATCTTAGGTACGCTTTGCCTCCTTGTCGCAGGATTGCTATGCTCAGCCCCACCATGTTCGTCCTGCTTCTTAGGAATGTTTTGCAGTCGAAGGTGAACTTTTCTACTAGGGTTGCCACAGGTTTATCTGCGGTGTAGCCATGCTTTGCACGGTCTTTCTGCCTTGCCTTTTAATAACAGCAGTCAACAAGAGCACAAAGTCTAACCAGGGCTTTGGACTTCTTACATCTCTCTTAGCCTTGGGGGGAAAGAAATGTCACTTCAGGCTGCTTTCATGGCCATCCAGAGTCTATTCTCATCCTTGCCTTCAGGCTGCTGAGCTTTCAAAGGGAGTTGACTTTATGGACAGCAAGGCCCAGAAAATGTTATTTCTGTATTCAGTGCTGATCAACACACAGATGACAGCACAGATGCAGCCTGCTGGGACCTTCCTATTGCAAGGTGGAACAGAAAGTTCTCCCAGGAAGGATGTGAGTTTGCCTAGAGTGCCTGGTTTGCAGCAATAGCAAAGCCCACTTTATACTGTATTCTCCCAAGTCTGTGGGCTGTGCTAAAGACCTTTAGCATAGCTAAAGACGGTAAATATGAGATTGACAGAGAAGGAAATCCCTTGCCTTTTAGTGGAAGGGGCTTCTATGGGCGCAGGTGCTTATGGAGCCTCTCGTTTATGGAATTGTGGTGGTTTACTGAGCCGAATAGCTTTGCATCCTGTAAGGAAATGGTTTAGTCTGGAAGGGAGGGGGCTGGTGGTCCAACCTTTTCAGAGCTGCAGAGGAATCACAGTTCCCACTCTCTTCATCAGGAGCTGTGGGCCCTCAGCATCCCTGAGATACCTGGGCATGGCATCGGCAGCTTGCTAGGCAGCATTTATCTCTAACAGAAGTACTTTCAGACAACCTTGCGAGAAGGTCTGCCTTACGCAGTCCCAAGAAGTCACTGGTTGGTACTGCTTTGCCTAGATAAAAGCTAATTCTCTTGGGAAGCACTGGAGGAGGTTCCCGCACTGTGTGTTCTGGGCTCGTACGGAGGGGCTTAAGGATACCTTTCTTCCTAGGAGAAAGCTTGAATAATCACAGCACTGCTTTTTGTGTGCCAGTTCTCTGTCTCGCTTTGCTTCAGGATGATCTTCCTTCAGTGTTGGGCAGACTATCTCCATCGTGTTCTCTCACTGCAGTGCACAGCCATCCCCTTCAGGATCCCAGGTGAAGCTGGAGACTGGAGATGACAAGTTCCCCAGAGCCTCTTTCCCAGCACTCCTTTGGCAGTTCCCTCAGGCTGTAAATGTTCAGCTCAAAAAAATCAGTTTGCTGCTGGTTTTTACAAAAGCCGGAAAAGCTAGTGCTGTTGTCAGTAGGAAGTGCCACAGTTGTGCTCTAAATCCTTCCTTTCCTTATCTGGGTCACTTTCTCCCTTTTCTATCTCCATCCTCACCCTAGTTAATCCTCTGTGCTGGGCAGCTGCCTATTCTTATAGTCACCCTTGACCTACGGAAAGTGAGATACTTACTTGGGTTTGTTCCAGCTGAGAAGCCAGTGCACATGCTGGAACATGTGAATTTTTTTGTTTCGTTCTTTTTTCCCTACTGTCAACCCAAAGCTTACAATGTGCACAGGTCCACTTTGTTTTTGCACCAGGGTCTGTCAGGGACTATTCCTTTGTTAGGGCCGCCATTCAGATAAACTATGACTGCCCTTGGCCACATAAATATCTAGGTCCGTAATACATGGACAAAAAGAAACAAAGCCCTTGCTGGTTCAGTAGCCACATCGTATGGTAATGTGTCATCTCTGTAGCAAGGGACCTGCGAGCAGGTGGCTGACCAAAATCGTTAATCCTTGCCCTCTCGCAGAGCGATAGCCTTGGGAGCTGATTCAGTCATTGACTTACTGGAAGATATTCAACTGAAAAGTCCTAGACTGGACAGGTGACTATCAGAGGTCTCCAAAGGCCATCAGTGACTACTCTATTTTGCTTTTCTGTTTATTTGATTTTTTTACCTTACCAACATGCCTCAATATATAGGAGGGATGTGTCAAGGTTTCTGCCATGCAAGAGAGAGTTGCATTGACCTGGACATTTTCTCTCAGGAAATTTTGCTGGTAGAGACACCAGTCTCTGCAATGGATTTTGCTTAAGAAAATCAAAAGCAATTGGTGAGG